ATATGTGTAAGCCTAAAACCATTTAAAGGTTTTTGCTACATAGCAAAAACCTTTAAATGGTTTTAGGCTTACACATATCCATTGATAATAATACAGAGTTAGTGAATATAAAATAAAGTAATTTTGTATTCATTTGATATAATTTATATATGGATTTCACCATGCATAAGTGAGACATTTGTATACTCAACACTCAACAAATATCTCACTTATGCATGGTGAAATCCATATATAATATTTTATATCAGCTTGTAACTTGGGATAAAAAAAATTAATTTAATTATTTATAAATTATATAGATGAAAATAATATTATTTCCGAATAATTGTTGCATGCTTAGTTCATTAATTAATATTTTTGTTTCGTTGTAATTGCTAAATACATTGTTATTATTTTACATAATTAATAAAATTGTAATAAAATACGTAAATATAAAATAAGCAATTAAGCAAATGTAATCAAGTTCAAAACTAACATTTATCAATGCCGTACACTTCCCTACGAATGTCATCCACAGGGGTGGTAGCCATAGGCTAGCCCTCCAGGCGCTTGATCTCGTCATTCACATTCACTTGAAATAAATCAACCCAAGTCTTGAGCACCGGCATCGTATCCGGGTTGGCCTGTTTGACAGTATCCCTGACATTTTTTGCATTTTTTGCATACTGTTCCAGTTTGGCCCCCTCACCAGCCCTACCCTCGGCGGCTAGTTTGGCTAGCTCAGTTTTAATTGCTAGCTCAATAGCGTCCAGTTCTTTGTAAATTTCAGCTTCCAGGTCGACAGCACCGGTATGGTATGACTCCGACACTATAGTGAGTATTAAAATTATTTTTATAAATGTTTAGTGTATTATAAAAATTATTTTTATTAACTATTTTAAGAGTATTAAATAAAGTACCAAAAACATTTTTTCAATAAATTAATATAAAATTTATGCAGGCTAATATTTCTGCTGAAGGTGTAATTAATAATAAATATGTTAATATACGAATAACTTACATATGGCAGTTGTTAAACATATCAAGGTAACTATAATAAAATTCATAGTTTTTGTTATATTTTATTAACTTTTTGTCAAGTTAAATATTATGTATAATTTCATAACTTAACTGGCTAAGAGCTAAGCTATTTATACTTTCAATTCTACTAATCAATATTATCTTAATTTGTCATGCTACATTAAGTTACAATAATTAGATACCATATATTAGGAAATGTTTTTACAAAAATTATTTGTTTAGTTTTATCAGCATTTGCACTTTAATTGATTAAAAATATTGTAACACTTTACTTTACAAAAACCTTGTTGCTAAATTAATCTGGCACATCAATTAGTAAAGTGATATATTTCTAGCAGATAATATAATTAAAATCATTATGATCTAATTTTTTTTGTTAGTAAAATATAATTGTAAATATTTTTAATTTAATTTACAAGTCGTACTGATACGATGGGACACCCGATATAATATACAGGTAAATGTAGCTTATTAAACTAAATGCCAAAGTGATTGGCAAATAATAATTATATTTAACTATTAAATCATTATATCTATAATCAAATATTGTCACAAATGTACTTTTATTGAATGTAGCTATAATTTAGCAACAATCTCAAAAATGATACTGGATAATCTAGTGCAAAATATATAAGTGTGTATTATTTATGTTTATAATGCAATTCAATGAATGCGAATGTTTGCAGATATTCGTCGTAAAAAGTACTCAAAATGTATTTTAAAAGTATATATAAGTTAGCCAGTTGAGTTTTAAAATTATACATAATATCCAATTTGGCAATAAGTTAATAAAATACTACATAAACTATGCATTTTCTATTAGTTACCTTGCTTTGTTTAACAGCTGTTCTAGGTAAGTAATTCGTATATAAACTAATTATTTACCAATTAAATTGCCCATGATAAATAATGTAAATATTTCTTTAATACGTTAAAAATTAATAAAAATCATTTTAAAACTTATTTTAGTGTCGGAGTCATACCCTACCGGTGCTCAACATACCGATGACGTACTCAACGATATCGAAAAGGACATAAACTCTACTATAGCCGAAATAGACAATGAGCTAGCTAAACTAGCCCTAGAGGGTAGGGCGTCGGAGGGCAAACTACTCGAACAGTACAAACAAAACGGACATGATCAAATCAAAATCATCGAGGACAATCGCCCATTAATTGTACCCGGCACACTACAACGGGCGCAACAGCTCCGGGACAATGTAGCCAAAGAAATAGCACGTTTAGAGCGCAAACCTACCGGTGCTGGTGTCGACCCGGAAGCTGATATTAACAAGGAACTGGACGCTATTGAGCTAGCAATTAAAACTGAGCTAGCCAAACTAGCCGCCGAGGGTAGGGCTGGTGAGGGGGCCAAACTGGAACAGTATGCAAAAAATGCCAAAGATGTCAGGGATACTGTCAAACAGGCCAACCCGGATGTGATGCCGGCGCTCAAGACTTGGGCTGATATACTTCAAGGGCAGGTGAATGACGAGATCAAGCGCCTGGAGGGCTAGCCTATGACTACCAAATGTTAGTTTTAACCTTGATTACATTTGTTTAATTGCTAATTTTATATTTACATATTTTATTATAAATTTATTAATTATGTAAAATAATATTTAGCAATTATAATGAAACAAAAATATTAATTAATAAATTGAGTATGCAACAATTATTATGATATAATATTATTTTCATTCACATAATTTATAAATAATTTAATTAAATTTTTTGCCCGAGTTTCGAACTAATATAAAATATTATATATATATATATATACAGTAGACTTTCGTTATAAATTATCCCTCTATAGTAGTGTTGCCAACCCTCCAGTTTTCGCCTGAAGTCTCCAGGAATCGGGAGTTCAACACAGACTTCAGGTTGAGGTCTGGCCTTGATATGGGGAACTCCAGGAAAAAATTATTAACATTTTTAAACTAAAAATACATGTTTCTATATAATATTATATCACTTTTGTATAATAAATTAGATTTTTAGAAAAGAATTACTTTTGATTTTCTAAACTAAACAATTTTACTAAAGAGTTGAACTAAATAATAATTTTAATGAAACATTTATCGATTATTTTAGACCTAAATATTATATTTTATAAAATAATAGGATTATTGATAATATAGTAATGTTAACAAATATTTAATAATAATGCAATAGTATGGTTAAAATAAAATAAACAGAACATAACGTAGTCCGAGTGATAAAAATCATTCAATTTCACTCAATATAATAAATGATAACATAACAACATAAAATATGCCATATTATAAAAAATTCAGATCTATTTTACTATAGTTTTCTATAAATTTAAAAAATTTAAAAGGGTTAATTTAGTAAACAATTATAAAAAATTTTATTGCATTATAATTAAATTACTATTAATTTAATTTATATAAACTCACTTTTTTGAATTAATACATTAAAATCTTCATAAAGTTAATTAATTGATTTCTGTTAATTTAAATTAATAAATTATTTCTCCAGGATTCTCCAGGAAATTGGGGGTGAATTTATGTGAATCTCCAGGGTGAAAATTTTTAGAGTTGGCAACACTACTCTATAGTGAACTCTCGTTATAGTGAACGAAAAATTGTAATTTTGCAGCCACTTTACAGTATACCTGTAATGTTAATTAACTCCCTGTATAGTGAACTCTCGATATAGTGTACGAAATTGATGTGCGTTAGGCCGTTCATTATAACGAGCTTTCTCTGTACATATATATTTATATATATTATATAAATATATATATATATTTATATGTATATAAAATACAAAATTACTTTATTTTATTCACTAAACTCTGTATTATTATCAATGGATATTATAAATATAAATTTCGAAAATAGAGTATATTGCTATGTAAATCAAATAATAATAAAATGCCTTTCACCTAAACAAGCGTACAATTCATTTTTAATGTATATTTTAGTGTCATGTAATTCACAATAATTATATTTGTTATGCAATGCACTTAAAATATTTATAATAACTCAAATATGCGATTTTTAGATGATGATAATTGTTTGTGACAGTGGCACTTGAATGGACCTTGTTGAAGTGTAATTCAGTGTATTTTATTTATCATTACAGTTGACGCATAACTGTTTTAGATTATTAATTCAAATGTTGTTTGCATTTGAAGTGTTACTAAAATATCTTTATCAGTAATAAATTGAGCAAGCCTATTGCATCATTAGTAGCATAAAATTATGAAATTATAAAGGCATTAATTTGTAACAGGTGTATTTTAAAAATTATTTATCATCTATGTTTAATCAATTAACCTCGTTTCATTTAGTATATAAACCAACAAAACAATTCATTTATTCGTAGTACTTTGCAAACATTAAGCCAACTATATAAAAATTATTTTATATAAATACAAAAATGCTGAAATTACCAATACTATTATTTGCCGTTTTCTATAGTAAGTCTCTCTCTCTCTCTCTCTCTCAATAAAATAATAATAAAATCTATTAATTAATACAATTAACATTTTTGAGCAGGCAAAGTTAGCACTCAAGGTGTTACTACTGAACCCCCATATCGTCAAGATTTAGTCGATGAGGCCAAAGCACTTTTTGTAGAGGGAATGGAACTGCACCAGGAGCTATTAAATCATCACAAAGTTAGCCAGGCCAGTGCGATACAAGCTCTGATAGATAAGATGATGGCATCCGAAACATCCTATGCTGTTCATGACCCGCCCGGTTATGGGTATTGGGAAACGAAATTGACCACGGACATGTCCAATTTGGAAACCGCTATTCATTTGTACAAACCTACCACACCAGCGTACTTATTCTAGATTATCGTTATAATAATAAAATCTTACATAGATCATAATGGTTATTACAATCATTAATTAATGTTTATTATATGTTGATTAAAATGAGTTGATGATAATTAATATATTATTTAATTCTCATAAAATAATTATAATTATATTTAAACTTGTCACTTTATTACAAACTCAATAATGATTAATTAAATTAAAAATTAGTTGAAATGATGTATTTTTCAATGTATAATTCATGTAGACAAGGTATATTATGGTAAATTTACATTATACGAATATAAACACAATTTAATGTATAATTTTGAATTAACATCAATTAGTTTATATTATAGCTTATAATTATTAGAATTAATGCAATTATATATTTTATAGATATTGAGCAATTTTTAGTATATTTAGTTGTTAGTATACTATAACAATTTTGATAAAAATTGTTAGTGACGTTAACACTTAAAAAGGACATTGATTAAATATATCTCAATGTTTTCATGTATTATTACAGTTGCCACATAACTGTTGTTAGATTAGATATTGATAGATATATGACATATTTTGCTATGTAAGTCAAATAATAATAAAATACCTTGAAATAAGCAAGAATACCATTTATTTTAATGTATATTTTAGTGTTAAGTATATTTCGAAAGAATTCTAGAGATGAATTTAAATTAAAATTAATTGCTTGATCAATATACTTTATGTGTAGTTATAAACCAAATGTTACATTAACTATATTTTATATCATATAATTTCAAATTCTTTGCGATTATTCATAAACTTAAATAAATAATATGAATTTACAATATTGAAAATGTTAATAATATTGAACAATATTTCACTGACCTTGATATTAGTGTAAAGGTTTACGTAATAAAAGCTATTACTAAATTATTTATTAATAAAAGTAAGAATAATCTAAATTTAATATCATGGTGAAAACTTTACTATTTGTTCAGTACAAATCAATCCTGGTAATTTGAAGCGTTTAAAATAACCTTTAAGGTTTTTGTGAAAAAAGTTAATTTCAATTATTATTATTAAAAATTGTATTATGTTAATAAAATATTATATTATATCATAAATCAATATTAAATCAATAACTTAATTTAATAGATTTTTGAATTAAAATGTTATTAATTTATTTTGATTATTAATCTTATATGAGAATAGGAACTTTAAAACCGCTTTTGCAAAATTCTATATAAATATATATATTAAATGAGTCACACATAAATAAATATAATTTATATATAAACTGATAAATGCCTATCCTTTAT